TCATATTGTTGACTGTAAACAAAAAGCAAAGACGGGATACTGGCAAAATCGCAAAGTCACTTCATATACTGTATTAGCAAAGGACAAAGAAGGTATCAATAGAAAATTTATATAGTTCTCAAGAAATGTAGAACTAATTAACCAGGCATTTGAAACTAAAAAAAAAAAAACCTAGTTGATTACAACTTTCTTAAAAACATATAAGAGTAAAAATTAATTTGGTTTGTAATCTTGAGAATTGAAATTTGATTGAATCAAATCTGTAATATTATTGATATTCAATTTCAACCTTAATAGTGGGATGTTTTTGGTAAATTAATTTCAAAATCTATTTCTAATTTAAAATATTTGATAGATGACGCTTAAAAAGAGACTCAGAAATTTATAAGGGTGTTGGGTGCACAATGTAGGTCGGGGTTGGGAAATTAATGTTAAAGCTTGATTTTTATTCTTTTTAATTTAAATTCACATTGTCCAATTTTTTTTTTTTTCTGGATATTTATTATCCTAATAAGATAAATGGGGCATTATTGACATTCATTTTTCAAGCATTAACAGAGACTATTATCCTCAAACAAAAAGAGATTTCAAATTAGTCATTTTACCAATTATGTTAAGATTAGTATTTAATTATATTGTGTACATTTTGTGCATATATCGTACAAAAATTATATTATTTTATATATTTTATATTTGGACGTATAATTTCATATCATATACACTAATTTTTGACATCTTTTATAAATACTTCTTAAGAGATCGAAAGTTAAATATTTATTATTTGTTATAATTTTACTTATTATATTTTAATTTTGTTCTTTCACAAATAAGACTTACACTTTTAAATCTTATTTGACTTATTCTTTTACAACATCTTAGTAAGAGCTTTTCTTATGTGATTTATTTCTTTGACATTTTGTTTGCTTTAGCTAAACTAGACACATAAATGATTCTTTATGGATTATCTTGATCGAGTTTATAGTTTACAATATTATTTATGAATTATCTCGATCGAGTTTATAGTTTATAATATTATTTAAGGATTACCTCAATGGAATTTATAGTTTATAATTATTCGGCTCTTAGATAATAAGAGATGGATCTTGGTCTTGTAATGGATATCCCATATTCTTCCGTGATCTGTTATTGTATTTGAGAATAGGGCTATTATTTAAGGCCTACTAAGTATTAATATCTTCATAAGTCCTGTTTGTAACAAAATTTATTAATATAACTTAATATATAAATATGTTATATTTTTGCTCAAATTATCCTTCCTTTTTAAACTCTATGAAAATATTACATCTCCTACACACACAACTTTCCTCCATACATATCTTTTTGTTTAAATTATCTTCACAACTTTCTTTTAATTATAATTTTTTTTTATTCCAATTATGATAAGTAAAAAGATAAGATATATCTTAGACTTTTTCATTTTTTATTTTCATCCCACTACAAATTAATATCACGTTTTGTTTTTCTACGTATGCTAATTTTGTTCGTTCCATAACTGAATATTATCATGGAATTTGGTGTGTAAACTAACTTGATAATATGCATACAGAATAATGCACATAAGAAAGTAATAATTAAAAAATTACAGTGAGGAGCCGTATGAGAAGCCAATTTTTTTTATTGGAAAGACATAAATCTTCTCTAATAGTCGGATGATAAAAAGATAAAATGTCGGGTGATAAAAAGATAAAATTAGGGTATATTTGTTTCCTTATTTTTGCCCTATTCTATCCAAAATACACATTTGTTTCCTTATTCCGAAAATATTATTCAATAATTTTAAATCCTCTAGGTTTGTTAATTTAACTAAACACCCCCCAAAAAAAAAGTTTATAAATTGATAAAAACACCCCCACCCACCCACATTTGCAAGATTCCGGCCACCACCGTTAGAAGGTGGCCTAAATCTGGTATAATGGCGCACTACCAGCTAGATCTGACCGGTAATGCGCAGATCTAACTTTTTCCAGCCAGATCTACGGCCAAAGATCTGGCCGTAGCTAGTTGTCAACGATAACCAAGATATGGCCGTTGTTGACGACCAAACGTGACCAGATTTGACTGTCAATGGCCAGATCTAGTATTTTTTGGCCAAATCCACGGTGGATTTGGCTGGAAAAAACCATATTGACGTACAATCGGTCAGATCCAGCCGGTCATGCACCGATACGACGACTTTGGCCACCCTCCGGTGGTGGTAGCCGGTATTTAATTGGTCAGTGGGGGTGTTTTTGTTAATTTTTAATGTTTTATTACAGGGGTGTTTAGTAAATTAACAAACTTATGGGGTGTTTTCTTAATTTTTAAATCATACATTGTAATAACCACCTAACTCTTACTTTTTCAAAAATACTATCCAAAATGCTAAAACAAATGCACCCAAGTTTTTGGAATAAAAAGGAAAGTGTAGAGAATCAGCATAAGGGCTATTTGGGAATATATTATAGAAAATTTTAATGTTTTAGATAAATTTTATTTAAAATATGGCTTACAAAGAGAATTAATGGGCTTAAATAACACCACTCTTTGACAGGTCAAAGTGAAGATGAAGCCCAATCTACAATTTTTTTTCAAAAAAAATTGTAGCCCCATCAAATTGATCACTATCTACCACCCCTAAATACACATTATATTTTCAAAAATTCTCTTTAAACCCTATTTAATACCAAAAATGGCTGTGCTTAATTAGGTCCAATTAGTGTTTTTATTTGCACCTTTTTTCCCTCCAATTTCAAACTTAATTAGGGTTTTTGTTCACACTACTTTTTTACTAATTTCTTAATAAGATTTTTTGTTTATACCCCTTTCTCTCAATTTCAAATTTGAAACTTACATTTTCTTTTTCAAATTTAGATTCACCATATTATGTGAAAACTTTCTCCATGGCTTTAATTATATATTTTCATCAAATAAAGATTTATTCAAAATAAAATAAAAATGATTCAATAATTTAGAAAATTTAGATTTAGGGTTTATGTAAGAATTGAATGTTAAAAATTAAAAACAAATATATAAAATAAAGAATGAGTATATATAGAAATTATTAGGTTATTAAGGTTATATTTATCAAAACAAAAATACATTTAAAAATGCAGATCTTAATCAATTTGATGTTTTCACAGATGAAACAAACCAAGTTTTCGAATCTTCCTGCTTGATAAAAGAGACGAGAAATCGTGTTTCTTCTTTTATTTATTTATTATTTTCCTTATTTTTCTGTCTGTTATAACATATACAAGTAGTCACAGATGTCAATTACGAGAAAATCATATGTTAAATGTTAATTAAGAGGAGCCACCAATATTATCTCTTAATTAATTATATATTATTTTCAATAATTATTCTTTAATTTCCAAATAATGATGGACAATACCAGACATGCTGAAACTTCTCATGGTTTAAACTATTTATCTCCCCTGAAGTATCCAAAATTGTCAGTGGATCCAAAGATACACAATATTACACAAACACCTCGCCAACCACCAATTTTAGCGGTTAAAAATAATGGTTTGAAGGGTAAAAAGGTAATTTGACTCTAAGCTTATGATTTGATGAAAAAAGTGAAGAAAAAAAAAAAATCCATTTTAGAGTGAAGAGACTTTATTATTCTTCAATTTCAATGTTAATGTCTTTTAATATCTTCTAAATTATTTTTATTTAAAATATATATTAATAGAGTGAAAACTTATAAACTGATATTGTATTTTCCGACTGTCTAACCGTGACATAAACTTATAAACTAAAATTGACATAAACGTAAGTAAGGTGTGGTGGTTGTATGGAGAGACACATGTTATGGATGGGCATGCATGCAGGTGGCTCATGCTGGCTGGGTGGGTTAGCGGGCGTGAGGGAGGGTGATTGGGGCTGCTAAGTTGGGATGGTGATGACGATGAGGGGTTAGGGTTTCATTCATATTTTTTTCTTTTATAATTTTTATAAAATATTAAAATTTCCTAAATTTTATAATTATTCAAAGTTGACTGTTTTAGCCTCCAACTATCGAAGCAACATTGATTAATAAATTATTTTTTTGGCATTTAGGGGTATTTTAGTCAATTTAGTGGTCAAAAGTGGTCTTTGGTTACTTATAACAGCCAAAATTGACGGCAGAGGAGGTGTGTGTGTATTATGGTATACCTGGGGCTACTTTAATTTTGGATACTTCAGGGGGGTTAAAGGATAAACCCAGAGTTCTCAATACTCTCATGTTAAATTTCCCATTGCTAATTAGAATTTTAATTTTTTTTTTTCAGTTCAACTTTAACACAATAAAAAAAAAAAAAAATCATAGTTAATGCAAATTTAGTAGATCATAATGTCATATAATTTACGAAAATGTGATTTTATTTTTCATTAAATTAAGTATGAATGTGTTGGATCACTATGTGTTATATCGGATTATATATTTTAAAACACTGAAGATGAATTTATTAAAATTCCACTTTTACAATTTTAATAATTGATAATAAAAGGATATCAGTTAAGAGACTTCACTAAAAATTAAATCAAAAGATTCCAGATTCATTTGTGCCCCAACCTCTAATTTGACAATTTCCAGATATTTCTTATCTCACTTTTTTACGATTTTTAACTTTTTTCCACCAAACAAACAATAGATTCATTCACAATACGTTAACAATTAAACATCAAAACCCCAAATTCAAAGTTTGTAACCAATTTGATATTAAATTCAGACTCAACTGGTAATGAAAACAAATAGTCAAAATAAAAACTATATTATATTTTTAAATCTGAACATTAACTTTCAAAATTGCCGCATATATTATATAGTTTACTTGTTTATCAATTGAGCCGGCTTGCAGCGACTCACTAATCTTGACTCAGTCATTACAGCGTTACTTAGAAATCATCGAACTATTATTCTTTACAAATTAATACTATATATTAATCACATTTTTATCAATTTTGTTTCAGAAATCATTTTCTTTTCCTTTCTTAATCTTTTGATCATCTTCACCATGTATGCATCAAACCCTAATCAGACGTTTGATCATCATCACATTGCGCCTGGTTTCACAAACCAAAATCAGACGTTTGATCACCATCATCATCATCATCATCACATTCCGCCATCTGGTTTCACACACCATTATTATGATGAAAATCCCACACATGCACTTCATCATCATCATCAGTACACATCAGAAGGCCCTTGGTCTTCCGGGTTGTGTGACTGCTGCTCCGATTGCTCAACCTGTAAGTTTCATTCTCTTCATCCAATTTATTAAATTTATAAAATTGAAGTAAACTGATGAAGCAACACATTGCACACCAATGTAGGATACAGGTTACAATTTTGACGCCGTTGTAGGCTTAAATAAAATAGAATTAAATTCAAATTAACTTCAAACAATGAACAAACACTGACCAATAAGACAATTAAAGGATTGCGACGATGGATTACATCGGGAGAGACGCTGTATTCTGACGCAAAGTCCAGTGTCAGAGTAGACCTTGTCCAAAAACAACAATTTTCTTGAAAAATTTCAATCTGTTTGTTGTTACTGTTAACAGTTTGCTTGACATTTTGGTGTCCATGCATTGTTTTTGGAAGAATTGCGGAGATTGTTGATAAAGGATCTTCATGTAAGTGAAGTTATACAAGAAAACTTTATAATTAAAGGTAATTAAAGAAGATGAGATTGAAATTAGTCTCATTAATTTGCAGCTTGTGGCGTGAGTGGCGCACTTTATTTCTTAATTTCAGCGCTGACTGGCTGCGGATGCTTCTACTCTTGCTGCTATCGCTCCAAAATGAGGCAGCAATACATGTTAAGTGAAAGCCCTTGTAACGATTGTTTGGTTCATTTTTGCTGCGAGGGCTGTGCCTTGGTTCAAGAGTATCGCGAGCTCAAAGGCCGTGGATTCGACATGTCTCTTGGTAATTAATCAACTTATAATTCTCTACATTAAATTCCATTGTTTTTCTTAAGACTGAGAAATGAAATGGTGATGGCCTTAATTTGATTCTTGTTTGATCTTAAAAAATGTATAGGATGGCATGGCAATTTGGAGAGGCAAAATAGGGGAGTGGTAATGGCTCCATCAGCCCCAGTTATGGAAGATAGGATGAAAAGATAGAAATTCTATAATCTTCATATACAAGATGAAATCGCTTGCTTAATTACTATTTAAGTAGGGATTTCTTAAACTTAATTTATATAATCACATGCACCACGGAGACGTATTGATTAATATTATGCTCTAGTAATAAGACTTGAATAAATGGATTCCCATGCATGTTTGAATACAAAATGATGATCAGGCGCATACTTCTTTTATAAAATTATATTGAGGAATTCTTTAAAGTTAAACGTAATAATTCAATTACAAATAAGTGTTTTAGTTTTACATCCCAAATAATACATATGACGGTTTAATTACCAATTCCGATTCAAAGTAAAAACAATAGAAGGAAAAAAAAATCCATTGCAATATGAACAATTTCCAGAATTTTCTTATCTCTAACATTTTCTCACCAAACAATTAGTAGAGTCAATTACAATAAATATGTTAAGTATTAATAACCAAAACCCTACTGAACAAATAATGAAAAAAATATAGTCAAAATATAGTACTAAATATAAATGTTTTATTTTGAACATTAACTTCAAATTTGCCGCGTAAATTACATAGTTTACAGAATCTTTACGTGCATTAATCGCGATAGGATAATATTGACTCGGCCATTAATTACAGCTTTACTATGAAATCATCCACTATATATTATTTAACCACCATTGCCGCTTGATGAACGAACAGTTTTTTNGAACGTACGGACACCTTCAAATCGGCCTTGCCCGATGAACGTACGGACACCTTCAAATCGGCCCTGCCCGATAAACGTACATACACCTTCAAATCGGCCTTCCCGATAAACGTACAGACACCTTCAAATCGGCCTGCCTGATAAAAGTACGGACACCTTCAAATCGGCCGGCCCGATAAACGTACAGACACCTTCAAATCGGTCTGCCCGATAAACGTACGGACACCTTCAAATCGGCCTGTCCGATAAACGTACGGACACCTTCAAATCGACCACGCCGATAAACGTATGGACACCTTCAAATCAGCCTGCCTGATAAACGTACGTACACCTTCGGATCGGCCTTGCCCGATCCACAGATTTACACCTTCGGATCGACCCTGCTCGATCCACGGATTTACACCTTCTATGGATTACACCTTCGGATTGAGCCTGCTCGATCCACAGATTTACACCTTCGGATCGACCCTGCTCGATCCACGGATTTACACCTTCAGATCGACCCTGCTCGATCCACGGATTTACACCTTCGGATCGACCCTGCTCGATCCACGGATTTACACCTTCGGATTGAGCCTGCTCGATCCACAGATTTACACCTTCGGATCGACCCTGCTCGATCCACGGATTTACACCTTCGGATCGACCCTGCTCGATCCACGGATTTCCACCTTCGGATCGACCCTGCTCGATCCACGGATTTNTTTTGGGCCGTGACTTCTCAAACCTTTTCTTATCAATCTTGGCATTGGAAATCACCCATTCACCACCCATCACTTCTCCAACATCTACTCTCCAAAACCCCCCACCAACCTAACTTTGTTAGCCTGCCGATTGTTGTTCACATCTCCTAGTGATTTTTCATCTCAAAAGGCAAAAAAAATAATAATAATAATAATAATTTTTTTAATATATGCTTATATTATTAGAGGGCCTCAAAGTAACTCCTGCCTAGGGTCACAAATATTCTAGAGACGGCCCTGGGGTGGACTAAAATAAAAACCAATCACACATTAATATTTTTGTCCATTAATATTTCTGTTAGGATGAGCCAAAGTCCAGAAATTATACATAATAATATTTTTTTTTTTAAATTTGAGGGCCATGAATACTGCATCCGCATCTGGTAATTATATGACTGCTGCATGGACTGCAGTTCCTGTAAGTTTCATTTCTCGTTAAAAAAAAAAAAGATTAATTATGTAGTACTTTACAGTTTTTTTACATGTAATGAGTTGAATTAAATTTCTATAACATAGGCCTTATTTATTTATAATCTAACTACCTTATTTATTTTGTTTTAAGAAATTACTATTGGATTGGGTAATTTATAAAAGATATACACTATTTAGGGTGTACTTTAAGTTTATAAAAATTATGGGTTTTATTATATTTAGGGTGTAATTGTAAGTTTATAAAACTTATGGTTTTTATATCTATTTTCAGGGATGGCATTGGCCCACCCTAGGCCAACGTTGGCTCCGCCACAGACTAGAACATTCCTTTTCTCCTAAGCCAAGCCTAATTCTTTTTTAACCAAGATTATAAACTATTTTTCCAGCAATTTCTACTCTCACCTTCGAAACAATGGCACATGTTATCAGATTGCTTGACGTGTTGTTGTCCATGCATAGCCTTTGGAAGAATTGCGGAGATTGTTGAAAAAGGAAATTGAAGTAAGCTAAGTCATACAAGAAAACGATATAATTATAGAAGGTTGGAGATTGAATTGTTAGTTTGATTTTGCAGCTTGTTGTAGAGCGGGGGCAATTTTTTGTGCATGCAGTTCACTTGTTATGTTGTTGTGGATACATCCAATGTTACAAAAACCGGATCATCAACAAACACACCTATAAAACTACAATAGTCCCTAAATATTTGAAAAATTGCAAAAACAGCCTTAAAAATTTCTTAGTTCCTAAAGTTTTGAAATCCTACAAAAACACCCCTGAAATTACAAGGTAGTTCTTATAGGTTTGAAATATAGCCCCCCCCCCCAAAAAAAAAAATCTGAATTGGACTGAATAGGATTTCTGTTCCCGGTCCGACCGATTGATCCGGTCTAATTTTCAGAACACTGGATGCATCTACGCTAGCTATTTTTGCTCAAGTATTGAGGGCGAAATACATGATAAGAGAAAGCCCTTGTAACGATTGTTTGGTTCATTGTTTCCGCGATTGCTACGCATTGCAAGAAGAGTATCGTGAACTCAAAAGCCGTGGATTTGACATGTCTCTTGGTTTAATTTACCATTAATCTCTAAATTAAATTTTATTCATAAGGGCATTTGGTATTCTATTTTTCTTATATACGACCGAGAAATATTGATGGATGGCTATTTGTTCTTGTTCTTCAAAAATGTATAGGATGGTATGGCAATTTGGAGGGGCAAAATCGGGAAGTGACAATGGCTTCACTTATGGAAAATGGCATGAAAAGATAGAGGGGATGGTCATTGATTTTTATATAATTGAATGTGCCACGCAGATTGAATTCGTTTATATCTGATGTATAGGCGGCATGCGGTATTGATTATTATGCTCTTGTAATGACATAATAAATTAATGTTGTTTTTCCATTTGTTTTTAATTTAATTTATTCTGAGAATTTCTTTAAAGTAATAATTCAATTGCAAATAAGTGTTTTAATTAGCTTTATATTCCAATATAATAAGATTTAAATACCAAGTCCTATCAAAGTAAAAGCAATTGAGAAAAATAAAAATTCCATTGCATATATGTGGCTGGGAGATTTACCTAATCTATGGGGTTAAACTAAGAAGAACAGGAAAATTAATATTACCTGATATAATTAGGATTACATTTAGTTTTTATAACAGGATTTAGGATTGATTACATCTAGGAATATACTTCTCGTACAAAACTTCTTTATAACTTTGTCAACAAATTAAAGTATTTTATTTAAAAGATATTATAATTGATAATTAGGATTACCTTAAATAATAGAATTATTCTTTTATAAAAGAAAATTTATCATTAAGCATATCCTTAATCAAAACTCTTCTCTTTCCTCATCTCTGTGAAGTTCGTTCTCTCTCTACCTCTCTCTCAACATAAACTTTTAGCGGATCGAGCCACAATGTCAAGTCTCGTGACCAGGGACGTCCCTGAAGCCACGCGGAGCCACCAAAACAAGCGGAGGGTTGTTCTTCCTGCTCAACCCAAACCCCCAGGCCTAAGCGATGGAACTCAAGAAGTGGGAGTCCTGTAGCTTCTGGGCATGGGATATGTGGGGACAACTGCGCCATCTGTAGGAACAAAATCATGGAAAATTGCATTGAGTGCCAAGCTGATTTTCGAAGCCCACCCGTGACGAGTGCACAGTTGTTTGGGGTTTGTGCAATCAGCCTTCCACTTTCACTGCATCAGCCACTGGCTCAAGACTCGCCAGTCTGCCCTTTGGTAATAGCGAATGGGAGTTCCAGAAATATGGGGTCTAGAATCTCAAATTTAATTTTTAATTTTGTTCCTTTTTTTCAAATTGTTGTGTTTCTGAATATTATAATTAGTTGTCTCCTGCTAGAATCGTAAGATTAGATGAATTAGAACTAACTAGAATTAGTAATGATTAGATGAATTAGAAACTAAGTGAGCAGTTTTGAAAACTTGTTCTTAGTTTATCAATGAAGCAATTCAATATTCTTTTCGGAGGTTATTTTCATTTAAATTTTTTAATTTTTTCTTTTTACCAATCAAGTCTTCAGCGTGAATTGTTTTTATTTGTCAATTAATGATTCAAAATTCTCTCAGAATTAGTTTCATAACTTTCAGTAACTTAAAAGGTATTAGAAACATAATCTAGGATTAATTAGTGATTCAAATCCAAAACTATTCGAGAATTAATATACGTGAGGGTGGATTTATTTTTAAGGAACTTTATTAAACTTTACATTTGATAATATGTTAAGTTACATTTGATTCGAGAAAACTAAATTATCATAGAAGAACCAACTAGATATTTAAGTCTAACCGTTGTTTGACAAATAAGGCAAATCAAGGGTATAATTACTTTCCCTTTTTTACCGTGGTTAATAGAAAATTAGACGACGTTAGGGTTTCGGAGGCAATTGATTATTATTTTAAATATATGGGGGTACTTGATTTAAAGTGCAATACATTTCACCTGATTATTCTTTTCCGAAACTGTGGGGTGTGATTGATAAACTTAAATTATTAAGTAAAAATCCAACATTAAAAATAAGTCTACCAACTTCTCCTAGTCTTCTTGAATTTGAGAGCTCTGTTTTAAAATCCAGACTGGACAGGCCAATCGACCTGTCTGACTGGGACTGGCAGCTTCTCCGGTTGGGTTCAAGTTTTAGGGGGTTTTGTAATATTTCAATTTATAAGGATTACTTTGGAATTTTTTGGGGTGTTTTGGAGATATATCAAAAGTTTAGGGATATTGATAATTTTTGGGTATTTTTAAATAAAAAAAATTTAGGGACTACTTTGACATTTTTAGGGGTATTTTTGTAATATCCTAATTTAAAAGACTAATGCAATTTTTTTTTAAAATAAATTATTATTGACGTCAGACGTCCAGTCAGTCAGTCCAACCAGTTGGCGGTTGACCCGTGACTGGGCAACAAAAGGGTTGCCCTTCGGTTCGGGTTTTAAAACAATGTTTGAGAGTGCATGAATTGAGAAGAATATTACCTTATAGAGTACAGTGCCTCTAATTTGTTAATTAGATTTAGTATTACCTTGGATAGTTGAATGTTGTAGTATGTATTAGTTTATATTCTCAAATTTTTCATACCATTTGATTTAAATAGGGTTCAATAAATCTTAGTGTTAGGGCCACAAAATCGTCTGGGCTTGACGGGGCCCAATAACGAAATAAACATGTCACGGCCCAAGGCCTAACCCAATCTCGATTGGGCCCACGCTTAAAATCACCTTGCGACCTACCCACTTTAGAGTTGGGCTATCCTAAAGTTAAGCTAAACGGGTTTCAGCCATTAGTGCAATAGAGTATAAATAGGAAATCAGAATCTCATTCTATTCTCTTTACTAAGATTCAAATCTTACTCAAAATATTAAACTGATCTGATAAGGTCAAGAAATCATATCTCTTTATGATAGGGATTATTCCAAAATAGGGTTAGTGTCCTACTAAGATTCCAACTCTTATTAAACTATTAAACTAATCTGATACGATTAAGAAATCATATCTCTTTATGATAGAGATCTCCCAAAAGAGGAATCAATGTCCTACTAGGATTCAACCCCTTAGGTTCACTATAAAAATAGAGGCTTGCCCTCTCATTATGCATGCAATCTCCCATAGTCAACTACACTCAAAAACATTATTTGCTCCTAAGTCTTGTCCCAAGAACCGACGCTCTGCCGTAGTCCTAGCTTCTGACAAGATCCTGGTATCTTCTTCTACTTAATTCTTATAAATCTCTTTCAGTCTTGCTGACTTGAGCGTCGGAGTGCCTACGGCAAAAACCACCTCGGTGTTTTCCGGAAGCTTCAAGCTTGCCTTCATGTGTGCAGGTCTAACGGATTGTCAGTGACCTCAACCTCACGGGACACACCCTATTTTCATGACGGTAGATTTTTTGCATCTACAGTTTGGGCCCACCGTGGGGCTGACAATCATCTGCTAACGATAACTGTGAACATGAGAGGATGCATGTAACTCCCTTCGACTGACATCGCTAATCAGAAAATTTTGTCACAATAAGAAAATTTTCTTACTTTCTCATTTTGTTTATTTTATAAACAGTGATATGATAATGAAGCATCAAAACACACCCCCATATTCATAATTTTCCATGCATCAGTTGGAATATTTCTCACTTCTCGTATGTGTTTAATTTCTTTTGGAGGGTATTTCGTGGTCTAAAAAACCCTTACATCTCATGGGCATGTTTTTGTGTATTTAAAAAACCCACTTCCTCCTTCTCTAGACCGCAAATTCTCCAACCCCAACAAATGGTTCAGAACGTTACGTCGCCTTCGTGTCAAATTACTAAAATCCCACAAACCTAATCAAAATCCCTACGTCCATGGCACTGATAGGAATATACACTGACTAGTTTTGACTTCTCGCCGTCAAGCCAAGATACCACTCAGCTCGTTCGAAGCAAAGTCAAACCGAGAATGAAATGCCCAACTATGACTTCCCTTCAGAATCACCAAATCCATTCCCCTTCCAAATCCTCTTTCGAAACCACAAAACCAAACACTTCCAAATACTAAGGTCCTTCAAAAATTGCTCATCCCGTGTTCTATCCAGCATCCATAAAAAACTACTCAAAAGCATGTCAAAGCCATCTTCAGCAAACTCAAAACCCATATTTAAGACAAACCCAAATTTTTCTTCTTCAAAGTCGACAAAATCACCTCAAATTCACAAGAGTAGCTAGAAGGTTTTAAGAAAACAAAAGAGTAGAGAAAAACAAAATCAGGAGAATCACTGTGGAATCTCTGGAGAAATCGCCCACACCTTCAGCTAGAAAGAGTAAAATTAAAAAGAGATAATAAATAATAAATAAAAAGTTACAGGTTTTGAATGAATGCCATTGCCAAAGCATTATGGCATTTAATGCACCTTGGTTAAAAACGCCATGTGGGAAATTTTGGAAAGGTGATTTTTTTCATTATTGTCAGCCGCCGCACAATGAGCCCATATTCCATTTTGTGCTCACATGCTTTGATCAGAGTTTATTTGGAATTCTTTGGAAATCTAATTCGCTTTGCAGAATGCACAATGGCTTCACTCGATCGGTCCGTCGAGGGGCAACACATAATATTCGTCTCAATTGGCCCTGCAACTCCCACTCAGCTCTGTCTCCATGTGTCTTCATCACACTACAAGAAGAACTCTCTCCACTCGGCTCAGCCAACGAGTGGAGAAATTAAAAATCGAAAGTGGTTCTCCTAGTCAACTTCATTTGACTCAGCAGGCAGACACCTTCCCCACACGATATAGTGGGCCGAGCCGAGTGGATTCTAAGCTCCTTAGAAAAAGGATATAATCCCTCAAATTATTTATACAAGTCTAGAAACTCCATTCGACACATACTCATCACCTATGTGGCAAAAGTATGCCCAAGTAACAACTATAAAGTGTCACCGGCTCGGCTGGGACTACGACTCTACCTCTCTCTGGAACATCTTCATTCAGGGTTGGAGTATTTCTATTCTTGTGCGTGAGCTTTGCCAAGTGGGTCTGTCCAAGCTCACCCTATACAACTCTTGCTCGAGTATGACTGATTCGATGCATCTAAAGAGCCACTCGCTGTAGACTAATGGTACTTTCGTATCACCTCCTCAAAAGTCAAATCAAATACTCCACTCGGTTCAGAAAGCACAGGTGGCAACACTTGAAGGGGAAAGGTATGTGTCATTATCTTTTTTGACTACCACTCTATTGGTTAAATCTTTCTCTATTCGGCCCATTACTTAA